ATTTTTGCTAATTATCGAATATAGCAAAAATAGCTCATTTTCGTACCGCGATAACTCTTCGGTTTTATGGAGTAAATTCATGTTTTAAAGTATCAATATAAAGAGTAAACATTCCTGAATTCACTGATGTAATTTTATTTTAGTTTCCTTGTAAAAAAGTACAATTTACTCCAGAATATTTCAATGCCACTTTTCCAACACCCAAAACATGCATAAATACAATCGGAATTTAACATAAGTAAAATGCGATATATAAACAAAATTATTCAAAATTTCTTTTATTAAATTACTAAACAAAAAGGTTATCAAAACATACCTTTGAGAAAACGAGATCTTCACAGCAAAAATCGCAATATATTTCAACAGTTTTTAGTCGAACGGCGTGTTGAGAATAAATAGCTTGAATAATAATGAGCCGCACTGATTCGCGCGTTGCATTTCGGGAAGACCCTCATTCCTCCTCTGGTTCAGAAGGTTAACAGAGGCTCCGGAATCAATCAGAATGTTTACTTTAGTGTGTACAATCTGTACTTGCGTTTCTGGATGTTTACCCGAGCTTGTGTTGACAGTAAAAAGAAATTTATCGTCCGAGTCTTGAAGATAATCAGAACTTTTCTCTTGGTTGACATGTCTGACATTTCCACTGTCCTTAGATTGAGATCTGCAATATTTTGCAAAATGACCGATTTTCTTGCAGTTGTGGCAAGGTATCTGGGCAAGACTCTATTCCGTCTTGGTGCGGGAATTTACCTCCACAGTTACGACAGGTTTGGGACTTTCGACCGCTATCTGGAGCTTCTTTCTGGTATTTATTTCCTTGAAAACGCGAATCGGGCTTCTTGGGCGTCCTGTATCTGGAATTTGATCCACCGGAAGTTGGAAATTTTCGATGTTGTTTTGAATTCTTTTCATTGTAATTATAATTTACCGAGGCGTTTAGACTGTTCATCTGTACGTTCTAAGGTATTCCCGTAGTTGAGAATTTGTTTGAGAGTCATCGTCTCACGAAGCGCTTTCTTTCTTAACCGGGAATCGCGGGTTTTGTGAATAATTTGGGTTTTAATCTCGGCTTCCTCGCTGTGAAAATTACATTGTACTGCTTTTGTCTTCAGTCGACGGTAGTATTCGTTGAGCGTTTCGTTGGATTCGAAAATCGAATATAGCCATGTCTGTATTTCCTTGTGGCACGAAGTGTTGTGTGAAACAATCAATCGCTTCTTGATAAGTTGTGCCAGTGTCGGGGAGAATATCGAAAATGTCGTTGGCTGACTCGCCTACATAGGTTAACAATAAACCTCTCCTAACGGTTGAATCAAACTCACGAAGACTTATAAGCAAGTTTTCGAAACGACGAACCCATTTAGTCCATCGTTGACCCACTGTTGCTGTATCTTGGTGTGGATTAAAAGGAGGAAACGGCGGTAAACCACTGCGTGGAACTTGCGATGTTGTTGTCGCGTTTGTAGCGTTTGACGTTGTTGATGATGATGCGTTTTCAGCATTGATATCTTGACCTTCGGTATCCGTAATATAGATTCAGGTTTTTTCGGACCCCGTCGCCACTTTTATATCCTCCGTTATTCAACTTTTATAACATATATTTACTCTGCTATATTATACATGTATGCTTGCTCTCTGGCTTAGCGTTTCCTAATCCATAATGTCTCGTGACCCAATCTTATATGTCAATCACTTACAGCTGACCAATCAGCATTAGGATACAACACATGTGCGACTTTGTGAGCGAGAGTTTTGTATAAAAAGTGGGAGTTTTTATAGTTTATTAAACTTTACTAAAACATAATACGAGAGTTTTAGTGTGCCGACACAAGTTCGGCACAGTGTTTCGTGAATTTATCTGGTTTTAAAGCTGATAAAACAACATTTTAATGAACGAAAACTTTGTAATATTTAGTGGAAAACATTAAGCTATGCATTCCAAAGATTTTACAGTGAAAATAAGTATTTTGCTTTATTTTATTGCTTTTTATGCTTTGAAAACAGGCAAGCTCATTTTTTTGCAAAAATGTAATCTAATATTTTACCCATCAAATGTTCAATCTGAACAGAAATAGATAGAACAGTTGGCTAGGCCTATATAAGTTACAAGGGGGGAGGGGGGTGAATAGGTTTTCGGATCGTTGGATTTCACAGAAAAAATTGTTCGGATTTCGGATCTGGCGATGAACCATTGCCGCTTACGCATTGCGCACGCTCATTGCTTGCAGTTTGAGCGCTCTGGCATGGTTTTGATGTCCCACATTCGTGAGGCATCAAAGGTCATTGTAAATAGCAGTTACTTTCATCCTGCTCATCAGCACTACACTGATGAGGCCCAAAGGCCGAAATGGTA